ACCAACTATAGCATCTAGTTCAGAATTGGCCTTTTGGAGCACGCGTGGATGGTTAAGTAGATTTGACATGGCCCATTCTAGTGTCACAGCTGATGTGTCAGTACCCGCCAATAACATGACCTGATGAAAAAATTGATTAATATTTGGTTAATTAATAGTTAAAAATAAAGGTGGTGCTATTTACATCAAATTTATTCACCAAATCACGTCGAGCATTCTACACCACAAATTTTTTTATTACAATTATTAATCAAATTTCAACTTGAATTAAATTACAAAGCCGAGTAGTTTTGTTCTAACTTTAATTTCAACTTGAATGAAGTGCAAAGTTGATTGGTTCCACGTATTTAGTACACAAATTTCGTTTAAAAATTTAGTGTGCCTAGAATTATTCTTAAAATACAAATAAAAGGTAACGAAATATATCATAATATGTACCTAGCATTATATATTTCTTTGGGATTAATCAAACAAACAAATTAAACCTTATCTTTCCATTGACTCCTTTATAAATCAAAGCTTTATGGTAATTAAAAAAATGCATGAGATGAAGATAATAGTGTTGTGTACTAACCATAATGAGACCCTTGATGATTTGGTCAGTGTAGTATTCAGGCTGTGACTCCTGCAGGGAAAGCAAATGGTCGATCATACTACCGCCATTTCTTCCTTTACTCCTGTGCTCATCAATCAGACCCTGCAAGAACACATCCGCCCTCTTAGCCAACGCCTTCACCTTCTTCTCGTACCCATTAACCCCAAACCAATTCAAAATCGGCAAAAAATCAGCTGGGTTCGCAGCCCCACCATAAGCAAACACATCCCTCATAATCTCTCTAAACTGCGTCGCCTCCTCTTTGTCCACCGACACGTCATCACCGTAGTACCTCTTCCCAGCCACCATTCTCATTATGATGTTAAACGTCAGCTCATTGAGCATTGACTTGAGCTCGACCTTTGCAAAACCATCGCGTGCGTTTTGTGAGAGTTTAACGAGTAAATGTCTCACCTCGTCCTTTCGGATGTCTGAGAACGTGTTGAGTCGAGCGGAGGAAAAGATCTCGACGGCGCCAATGCGGCGTAGGTTGCGCCAGTGGTCGCCGTACGGGGACGACACCATGCTGGTGTAGTTGTAGGCCAAGTGCTTTCCCATGATCAGTCGAGGACGGTTTGCTAAGACAACGTCGTTTGTTGTAAAACATTCTTGGACAACGGATGAGGATGAGAGTATGACCACGCGGCGTGAGCCGAACCAGAGAGAGAAGATGGGGCCGTATTTTTGGGAGAGGCGACGGAAGATTCGGTGGACTGGGGGTTTTAGGAGATGGAGGTGGCCGATGATTGGAAGAGAAGGTGGGCTTGGTGGGAGGTTTTGGTGATTGTGACGTTTGGTTTGGAGGAAAAACTTGAAAGTGAAGAGAATGAAGATGAGAGGGAGGGATGTATAGAACAAGATGTCTTCCATGGTTTTGTGCGCCTTGCTTTGCTTAATAAATGGTTGAGATTTTGTTGAGTTTTTATTTGGATGTGGTTTTATGTAATACAAAGCTGCGGTATTTATATGTACAGGGAGGGACATAGTGCCCAAGTAGTATGAAGGACAATGACAAAATGATTTCTTCATCACTCGGGAGGTCTAGAACACTAAAACTTTTATCTTTTCATATTTGGAAAAGATGGCGTATAACATGATGATTCTGACTTTTAAAAGATTCTCAATTTGTGGTATTGAAATGTCCACTCCAACTAATTTCAATTCAGTTATATTTTTTAAATTGTTTTGGCCTCGGTCATTGATTCTTATTTTTGGTTGAAAGAGATTTGGGTAGACAAAAAACAAAAAAAAACTGCAGTGTCTTTGATTGTTTGTTTGTTTGTTTGTTTGTTTGTTTTTTTTTTTTAACTCCAACGGTACGACATAAATTTTATTAATAATAAAAAAAAATGACATCTAATTAGGAGGATATAAACATTTCTCTTCGTAAAACAGAAACAATAAAAAAAATACATGAAAAAAAAAAAAGAACATAAACCTTATACTTCTAGAAACAAAAATAAGATAGTCAATTCTATCTCAAAGGGATTTACTTATACACTCAATAGTTTTTAATTTGAATTTTCTTTCTGTATAATCGCCTTGTCTATACAAAAGATCTTTGTAAATTGAAACGGAAATGAATTGTTTTTTCATTCAATGAAAGTTCTAATCATGTTTTATTTATAAAAATCAATTCAAGGAAGTCTGCAAAGAAAGTAATCAATAGATAAACTTTGTTTCTCTTTCCGGGAAATCGTCATTGAAAAGAAAGTGTATGAACAGGATAACCCGAAAAAAAATAGAAAGGCAATTCAATCGTGGAAGTCTGCAAAGAATTGTATTTTTGTTCTTACCATGTTTAATTCCACCACGTGTACACTTACTGGCGTTGCCCTGCGTAAGAGAGTTCGTGTAAATGCATGCGATCCGTGGCTACATGGTACACACAATTAGGATGCGTTTGTTGCACCAGATTATTTCAGAATGGACCAACTTTCACAACTAAGCTAAACTGTCTTGGCTTGAACTAAACTGGATAAGAGCAGTAAAGTGTTTGATGTACTACCAGACTAAATCACAGACTAAAATATTTTTAGAGTTCAAATACTTTTTTTGTCATTGTTTAATTCATTTTGCTGTTATTAATACACATTTTTTTATCTTTAAAAAAAATAAACAAAATACAACTATTTTTATTTGACTCTCTCTCCCTTGTCTCTCTATTTTCTCCGTTCATTTGCTTTGGTTTTTCACGTCCAAATTTGCTTCCAGTAAAACTCAAACCAAAATAAATAAAACTCATATTTTCTCTTCATTTCATTTGCTTTCTCTTGAATTCATACCCATATTTATCTTCTTTTTATTTACTTTTCTATTCAAATCAAACCCAGAAAAATCCCCAATATTTTTTTTTAATTTACAAAGGCTTCATCAAATCGTCGAATCTGCAAATTCATTTCAATCAACCTCTACAAATCAATGTCAATTGATCTTGCAGAAGAAAGAGACAAACTTGCAGGCGCATTTCCTGGTGGAGCTCTTGGCGACCTCGAGTAGGACGCAACGGTTGGTGCAGGATTTGGAAGAAGAAGCAAGCTGAGGAAGACAAAGATAAAGTGAGCTGAGGAAGACAAAGACCAAGCAAACAAAGCAAAGCGATGGTGTTAGTAATCCCATCATTTTTGGGCGATCTCGCTAAGACCAGTTAGTGAAGAGTTTAGTCGGCACGAGTCCAACGTAGTCCCATTAAACACAATCCTGGCTTGCACCAAACATGGGATTAATATTCTTAGTAAGCCAGTCCAGTCCAATGAGAATTAGTGAGTGCAAACAAACACGTCCTTAGGGTTTGCATTTTTCATTGGCATGCATCTGATTCGATCGACAGTGTCTTATGCCATCTCCAATCGAAAATGTTAGATATAGCTAGCTCTGTCTAAAATTATAATCTTGTAAAAAATTTATTTTTTAATAAACAATGTCAGATCATACCTATAAACTATTTCCAACTGAATGAGGCTAAACATAGCCCCCTCAATAATTTATTAATTTTAAGTTTATACTTTAAATTTACTGTTTAATTTAATAAAACTACATTTAGATGTTTTCAAATATAGTCGTTAAATTTGAACCAATTATTGCAACTAAGCAGCTGAGCACCAAAAAAGGGGTAGGAGGGGGCTCCATTTGGCTAGCCTGATGGCCTTTTGACCAAATAATGGTTTGGTAGGCTCCACATAATTATCACCCAGCCATCTGTTGAAGATGAATTTTTGAGCAAATCAGACCATTTTTAAACTTTTAACCTTCTCCATTGGAGATGGTCTTCAGCCAAATTAAACAGAGGAGAGAACACCATGTTTTTCTTCCATACGAAGTGATGATTCTTGTGGATCCCGCATGTGTATCTTGACTGAATGATTATTAAGTGTATCTGCTAAAATTAAAAGTATTTTGTATTCACATTAAAAGGTGTGGAAAGTAAACTAATAACTCACTGCAAAAAAATACCCCACTAAAAGTATTTTGTATTCAATTAGGAAACTTAATCAGTTTTTTCCTACATGAATTCTAATAGGAGAATCACATAGATTGTTTGTATATATAGTGGTCTCTACTCTCACAAAGAAATGCGGTAAATTATTGAACCATGAGGAGAAGTACTACTACTGTGGTCAACTATGGTTTGTCTTCTTCGCTCTCTACCGGTATGTCATTATTCTTATTTGAATTACGTGACTAAGAGCTGTTATAGAGTCTTCATAGGTTCGCTTAGTGCTCTCATAACGTCCATATAGAGCTTATTAGCTCGTTTGAATGTGCTTTTAAAATAACTAAAAGCGCTATTAGGAAAAATATTTTTGGATTCCAAAAGCACTTAAAGTGCTTTTTGCAAGAAGCACCAATTATGTGCTTCTTCCAAGAAGCACTTTAAGTGCTTTTCCAAAATTTACTTACATTTTTACGAAGAATTAATTCTAAAAACATGTTCACCAAAAACGTTTTCAATCATTTTAAAAGCACATCCAATCGAGCTATATGCCGCGCTCTTATAGAGCTTTTATAGTTTGCCTTAGTGTTGTGATCATTTATTTGCTTGACTTTCATCTTTTGGGGGTTTAGCATATTCTTACATAACAGATTTTAACATTTGGTTGAAATACTCTAATTAATCCAATAGATGTTATGAGAGTATCTCTCCTTAAAAGGGGTAAAGATAAGCTGATATACCTACTCTTTTGGATAAAGTGACGCTACCCTTTGATTTTTCATTTTCCTTTTGCCTATATTTTCCTTCTCATTCTTTAATATCGTGCGGTAATCAAAACTTTTTTGTTTACCATTTAAGTAATCCTTTCAGGGATGGTTCTTCTTAAAGCACATCTAATTTGAAACTCATTTGTTTTTATTGATGTTTGGGAAAGATGTTCTGGCAATGAAAATTGTAGGATGAACCGAAATGTTGAAAATGGAAAAGGGGAATAGGAATGGTATATCAATTAAGTAGACAAAGATCATTAACTATGTCTTGCAGCTTCCCTCTTTTGCTAATACAATACTAAATTATTTATATAATTTAAGATATAATTACTTTGTTTACAATTGAGCGTGTTTTACACATGGCCTCCAATGGCACAGCTTTAGGCATAGTGAGTCCTTTACCTTCAGTCATATCAACCTCCTCCTCACCAACTCTCTCCCACTCGAAACATTGGATCAATGACCCTAAAGTCAATCCCACCACGCGTTGGGCTAGTCCTGCTCCTGGGCAAGCCCTTCTTCCCGATCCAAATGTTATAAGCTTATGCGACATATCCTCACCACTTTCGAACCTCTCAGGCTTGAAGCTTTCAGGATCGTCCCACAACTTTAGGTCCCTGTGTATGGCCCATGCATTGGTCAATACTATTGTGCCACGCGGCACGTCAAATCCTTCAATAGTTGATAGGAGCATATTTAGGCGACTTACTTAGCTTGTTTTCGTGCATCTATGTTGTTAATTCATAGTTGTTTTAGTAGTTTAAGCCATTTTCGTGTGTTTTTAGGTTCATATGGCTAAGGAAGCAAAAAGATGCATTTTGGAGCATTTTGGAGCAAAATTGGGCTTGGAATGGATAGCATATGATTGGAGCCAAAGTGTTGGACGAATTTGAAGGCCTTGTATTCATTTTGGACATAAAACAAAGGGCCTAGCCCATTCTCTCTTAAACCAACCCCAAGGCCATGCATTTCCTTCCAATTCCAAAGCCCACAATCACTTCAAAAGCCATGCAAAGAACCATCCATTCCATCAAAAACAATCCATCAATTCACATGCAAAACCACCATTAACACACATGCACCCAAACAAAGCCAACCTAGCTAACCCTACATGCATTCTTTATGCAACTCTTCATCATTCCACCATTCATTCTTTATTCCACAAACAAGTCACATGCATTTCCACCTTCCTACTTCATCATTTCACCACATTCTCCCTCTTTAACTCATTTCATTATTCATTCACTTTGCATTCATTCAATTCCACCCCACATGCACCCTTTATTCTTCATCATTGCAACCATGGCACATTTACACCAACAAAACAACTCCCATGCCATGGCCTACTCATATTCCCATTTCCTTTCCAACATCTCACATGCATTTCCACCTTCCTACTTCATCATTTCACCACATTTTCCCTTTTATTTCCACATGCAATTCTTCATCATTGCAACCACAAACACCTTAAACAAATAGCCATATACATCTCCACTCCTCCTATAAATACCCTTGCATTCATTCATTCGAAAATGATCTCATTCACAACACAACACAACACCACAAACACATCCACCTTCCTTAGCCGTGAGTCTCCCTTAGAATCCAAAAACCATCTTCCATTTCCACCACTCCTCATCCATTTCCATAATTTCCCAAACACTTCCATCCCCCCAACCAACTATCCCTAGACCTTATGCTACAATAAAGAGGAAGATAAGAGGGCCTAAACGTTCATACAATTCAAGATTGAGTTGTTGGAATGTTTAGGCGTTTCTTTGATTTCAATGTTTAATTTCAATTCTCTTTGTTTTGTACGTATGAGGAAATAAACCCCCTTTAGCTAGGGGGTGATTCGAAACTATGTTTATGTTTGTAATATGATTTGATTACTTTTAATTACGTTTCATAAGTTGTGAATTCAATTTGTTTAACTGTTTAATTGATAACCTATTTATGTATGTTTATTAAGAATGAACGCTTAATTTTCATGCATGAATTTGACGCTAGAATATAAGTGAGTTTCACGTAATAGTTATGAACTTATATTCACAAGTAGTGGAGGTTGCTTATAAACAATCGTGTTAAACATATTCTTGGCATAAGTTTCATGCAATCATAGTAACGAATGCCTCGTCAACACTTATAGTTTTCATGATGCTTAATGATTCTTGCTTGTATCTCTATTATGCAATTCATGTAGGGAACTTGTGAGGAATGCTTTGGATTGTCGTATGCAATCATCCAATTCATTAACTTAAGGAAAACTTGACGGTTAATTTAAGCGGACCTAATTAACCCGGGGCGTTGAGAATTCATGGTTTATTGAAAAGCAATTAGACATCGTTTTGTATGCAAGTATAACATATGTGGAGATGAACCCCTTAGCTAGCTTCCCATCCATTCATTTCCGTCAAATCCATATTTACAATTTGTTTTATTTCCAAGTTTCCATTTTTAGTTTAAAGTCGTCCAAATCCAATCCCCCTTTACTTTATTGTTCAATTTAGTTAGAAATCAATTTAGTTTGTGTTTTTAAAGCATTTTGAGTCTTTTGGTTTGTCTTAGTGTTTTAACGTTTAGTTTCACATTCTTTGAGTCTAGTTTAGTGTTTTATCTTGTTTTTACGTTTTTGAGTCAGTTTCCAAGGTTTTAGCAATCCCTCCTAATCCCCGGTCCAGAACGATCCCTACTTATACTTATACTACAATTGACAAAAAGAGGGTTTAATTTGTGTGCGTATAAATCTCGCATCAATAGTACAGTCTTCGGATGAAAGACTAGTAAGTGTTTGACCTCTTCCTTTCGGATGTTCGAGGATGTATTGAGTCGAGCAGTGGAGAAGATTTCGATGGCACTAATCCGGCGGAGGTTGCGCCAGTGATCGCCATATGGAGAAGCGACTTCGGTGGTGTAGTTGTAGCCTATGTGCTTGCCCATGAGCAAACGTGGGCGGTTGGCTAGGACAATGTCATTTTTGGTGAAGCATTCCTGAACTGCGGACGAGGAGGAGACTATGACCACGCGGCGTGAGGTGAACCAGAGGGAGAATATGGGGCCGTGTTTTTGGGAGAGGTGGTGTAATGTTCGGTGGACTGGGAAGTTAAGGAGGTGGAGGTGGCCGATGATTGGGAGGGAAAGTGGGCCTTGTGGGAGGTTAAGTTGAGGTCGTTTTCTCACGAGGAGGAATTTGAAGGTGAAGAACAGGAAGATAAGGGAGAGGGATATGTAGAACAAGAAGTCTTCCATGGTTGAAATGAGTTAGAATGAGTTGTGAAGAAGTGATATTTATAAGGGGAATTTTATGTGAATCATATGAAATGCTTTATTATTTTATTGCATAATTATCGTTAAGTACAAGATGAATTCGACAATAAAAATAAGATTTATCAATAAATTCACACTCAAAAATCAAACCCTAATAAAGTAACAGAACCAGTACAAATCATGTTATTAGAAAATTTATCAGCAATATAGTTTTCATATTTACGTTCATGCTTCTTTTTATTACATAAAAATTGACAGTACCAAGTACAAATGAACAAGAAGTTTCTCACGGCATATCAAAACTTCTTTTGTGTTTCACTAAGTTCTTGAGTTTATGTTATGTAGTGTTCTGTCTTTCACTTCTATATGTCTATTATCTCCAGCTCTCCAGCTAACATTTGCATACTATTTGGCATCTGCTATGTGTTTCGCTAAGTTTTCTAAATTAAGGATAGTTAACAACCCATCACAACAGTTAATCTGATTTACATATTTCTATGTTTCTTATTTTCAAATGGGTCTAAAGATAAATTTACATATTGAACTATAGGTTTGTGTGTGTAATTTAAATAGTAAATTTGAATTTAAAGAGATATTAATATTTTATTTAAAAATAAAATGAATGTAAAAATAAGTTAGGTGCAGACAAAAGTTATATAGGTTCAACTAAACTTTCCTATTTATAATGAGGAAATGGACTCATTTTCTTAGTCCGTAAATTTCGGTTTATTTAAATCCTTCGTAAATTTTAGTTTATTTCAGTTTTTTTATTTTGTTTTATATTAATTTATTTTAAGAAGAGAAATGAATGGTGCGAAAATCCTCTCTATAAAAAGGTGTGGTACGTGATATTATTGCTCAAGTAATATAATATTGTCCGCTTTGGACCCTGACTACGTCCTTATAGTTTTGTTTCTGAGAACTCACATGAGAATTTCCTAATGGGTCACCTATCTTAGGATTGTTCTTGCACGAACTCTCTTAACTTCGGAGTTTCAATGGAATCTGAAGTCAGTGAGTTTCTAAAAATCCTCGTGCTATATGGAAGTATGCATATACATATAAGGCATAGAAAATCATTTTCCTGAACGATGTGGAATCTAACAGATATTATTGCTCAAGTAATTACGAAAGTTCTATGAGGCACTAAGGAATTATATTTAAATGGGAGCTAGATAACTATTCTGAGTTCTGAACTATCATACTTATCATTTGAATAAAACTATATAGAATAAACATGTGGACCTGATCCATCAAAAGACTCATGCATACATGCGGGTACCGTGTTGCAGAAAACAACTTATCCAGTGGGTCATTACGATTTGTCTTTTTTTTCTTATGTGTGTGGACATTGCCTGTTTCGGATAGCAAGGGGGACCATATGCATCCGTTCGTCTCTATAATTTTTGGATCTGATTGTTTTACATATATCTTTTCGAACTATAACAGTACAAATCGTGTTGTGTAATCGTACTTTTCATTTTAGTGTTGACCACTAATTTCAACAATTTTTTTTAGGATTCATTAGATATTGGTACTGAAAAATCATGATTTTTAAATATAAACCCACGTATAATTAAAAATCCAACAAAAATCCAAAAGTTAAATAAACTGCCACATAAGAATATAAGTAACCTACTAATACAAATTATTTACAATTTTTGCCACAACCCACACTTGAAAATTAGCTTCAATCAAGGGCCTTAAAATCTAATTAATCATCCTGATGTTTTTTCTATTTATTTATTTTTAATTTCTACAACAATCTAGTGCATTACTTTAAATAATGACTACATTATTATTCGGTGTAATTATTCTCCTTATATATAATAGTTAAACATCCCTACTTTACCTATATAAATAATATCGCCCTATAGTCTGTCATTTACCTACAGTATATAAACAAAATATTCTCATATTTCTTTTGGCAATTTACCTATGATATATGCAAATAATATTCTCATGTTTTGTTGGCATTTTTCCTAAATTATGCAAGTAGGTAAATTAATATAATAGTATGTAAATTATGCAAGTAGGTAAATTTCAATAATAGTAGGTAAGTTATGCACACGTGATTTACCTACATTTTTTATGTGAATCAAATATCTAGACTGTATATGTAAATAATTTACCTATAGTTGGTTCTTTTCTTTTTCTTTGTCCTAAAATTACTTTACCTGCAATTTTTATCTCCTTTAATTTATATATTTTTACTTAAACAACAATTTTTTTTATATATTTTAAAGTACAATAATTTACCTATATATAATATGGACACGTTGTAATGTTAAATTGGAATTCGAGAGCCAAACTAACCAACAAATCCCTACATTTATATGCAAAATATTATTTTTGTAAAATCATTAATTCTCCTTTACAATTTACATAGAATTAATTGTGTACATTAAACATTCAATAAGGATGTTTTAGGCATCCGAAAAATTTTAAATGGGTAAAGTCAAACATAATTAATGAATTTGCTTATGTGGAGTTTAGTCAATGGGTTTTATTTGAGCAAAAAATTTACGTCGGGTTTTATGTAGAGAAAATTGAATTCCAGGAGCTAAAGTTATATTTTCAGTTTTTTTATATGTACATACGCAATTGATAGCATAAAGTTTAGGACAAGATAAATTTAAATGATAGCGCCACTTAGTTATTTTCCACTTTACCTAATTATTCTTGGCTTCCTAGCTACTCTACCTCACCCTCTAAAAAATTTTGTCAAACATCTTATTCCGTTAACTCACGCTTAAATATAACATTATTTGACAATATCACTTGTAAAAATAACACGCCCGTGTTATGAAGAATCCACCCACGCAAAGAATCAGTAAAATAAATCCGATCGAGTGACATAAGTTGCAGACGTGCAGGAAAGTATTTTTGTATAAATCATCATCTTTTTCTTGTTTCGTTTTCACTATATGAGTTCGTCCTCATCAGGCGTCGACAGCTTCCATCATGCGCTGCCGGTGCTAGTTAGATCGACACCTACGTCAGGGAGTGCGTATTGTAAGTGCATACGTCAGCCAGTACGAATTCACACAATTGGATTTGCATTTGCATGCGACATGGATCAGAAAAGCAAAGCAAAGAGGAGAGTATGGTGTGATAGAGTATATTTTATATTATATATTTAACCTTATTTTTAGTATATTTTGGTTAATATTTTAGAATAATTTTGATATTTTGAATTGTATTTTTAATATAGGACATTCGACTTCCTCTAAAGAAAGACGCGGTCAAATGGACAAATTTTGGAGTAATTCCAGTTAGAGGACGTTCGTGAGTCACTTAGCTTGATCGTATCAAAATATTAGATTTTTTTACCAAGCGATGATTTTCTGGCAATAAAATAAAGGGGCGATGCATGGTGCAGGAATAATGACGTTTTGAGCTTAACTTGCATTTTTGGAGCCCAAGATGACTTCGGATGGGTTCGTGGCCTTCTGGAGATGTGTTCAGAATGTTCTTTTCTTTAAAACAACCTATCTTGGGCCAGATTTGAAAGAGATTTGAGGCTAAAACGTGGCTGAACAGTTTCTGTGCAGTTTATCCTAACTTAATTAGGATTTTATGTTTTAATATATTTTATTATTAGTTAGTTTCCTATTGGAAATAAGAGACTTGGTTCTTAGGGATTGTGCGGCTGGCTTTTAGTGAGATATTTAAGGTTTTAGTCAACCCTAGTTTGGGGCTACGCTTTCTTTTATGCAACTTTGGAGACAGAGAGAATTGCTAGGGTTCTTGGAGATTTTCTACTTTAAGGTGTTTTCATTCCTTTTATTCTTAATAATATTTTCTATGATTTCAATTATGAATATGTGTAACTAATTCCTTTTGCTAAGGTGAAGCCTTGAGTCTTAGCATGAATATTTAATTGCTTATGATTGATTGCATGCACATTTTGAATTATTAAACATTATGATTAAAACTATCTAATTGTCTTAATGCTTGATCACCATTAGGATCTTTAGAAAAGTAATTTGATGCAATTTTGGTCGGAAGGTTCCCTGAAATTGGCGCTGGCTTCATGTGGTTAATAATTGTAATTTCACTTAAGATGAACACCAGTCTTAAGGGTTGCATGGTTTTTCAAAGGGTTTTCATAAAGCATAATGAGTCTCTCATTCATATTTGATCCAAATGTCCGGACAGATTACATGTTAGATATACATTCTATGTTGAAGGTTCTAAGTAGAATATAAATTAGGAAAACCTAACATTCAAAGTGGCATGTGTAGATCATAAGTAATTGGTAAAAGTTCATAGGATTGCTAGGTGATGGTGAAACCCTAGTGCTTTCTTAATTTGATTTCTCCAAAACTTTTCCTTTTCTTTCAACTTTAATATTGCAGATTGTTTTATTTTTTATTAATTAAATTCGTTTTATTAAATTAGGTCATAAAAAGCAATTATCTCAAATTTTTATTTTACAATAATTAGTTGGAATTTGGTTTGTTTCGAATTATTCAATAATCCCTGTGGGCAATGATCTTGCAAAATCCGTTTATACTACAATAACCTTGTCATTCTTGTAAGTATTATAGGAGTTTTTAGCCCGTTTGCGTGTGTGGTAAAATCTCTATCATGGTGCAAGAACAAATTCACAATTATCGGCTCATAACACTTCGAAATCACTATTGGATTCACACAATTGGATTTGCATTTGCATTTGCATTTGCATGCGATATTTACCCTTGAAGAATGTCCCGTCAACCACTATGATCGGCCTCATAACACTTTGAAATCTTCTTATGCAAAGTCTAAGTGACATGAAACAACATAGAAAATGATTATTTCCATCGGTTTTCAATATGTGTTACTGTACCAAGATTTTTGGCTCATAAGACAAAAAAATAGGATGGAAGTACCTCATAAGATTTCTTGGTGATCCTCTAACCAACTCCAATGCATGTTTCCTAGCTCTCCTAGCCTTCACATAATTTAACTAACACCCATGTGCTTTCGCATATCTTATACGATGTCACGTGGTGTATGTACTTGTACTACACCCTCGTAATATTGATTGGCACCGCAATTAACCACTTGGACGTTGAATTGTACCACCATTTAAAGGACTTGTTGAA